ACGGTAACGGTAGTAGTAGTAGGTAGGTAGTAGTAGTACTACTCGTACGTCGTACTTACGTCGTACGTGTACGTAGTAGTATTATATATATATATATATATATATATATATATATATATATAGGAAGATTCTACGATACACCGATTTGTGTACCGCTACAGTAAACACCCAACGCCCCAGATCGAATCTAAGCCGATCTGACGATCACGGATGTCTAATAGTGTTTGAATTTTAATTTTAATTTTTTTTTTACAAATCCAAATCACTTAAAATTTAAGACGTCTATTTTTCAAAAATAGAAGAATCTAAAAAACATATCAAAAAAATATTTTACATGAAATAAATTGACCAAAATACTCCTAAAAAGTTTTAGGGGCATTTTGGTCATTTATTTTACAAATTATTTTATTTTTATTTTTATTTTTATTATATGCGTCTTCATGAGAATAACATACACCTAAAATTTTAAGTTATTTTTATTTATAGAAAATTTATTAAAATTTAAACACTCACGGACAATCGTGATTGTCAGATCGGTCGAGATTCGATCTGGGCCATTGAGCGTTTAATGTAGTGGAACGCACATGGGTATACGGGAATTTTTCCATATATATATATATATATATATGAAAATACTATGCAACGCCTATAGGCGAAAATGAAAAGTGATTTCGCTTACCCCCATCACCATCCAAAGTTCATCGCACAGTCACGATTGTCCGGTAGTGTTTTATTTTTCATTTTTTTTTTACAAATCGGAATGACCTGAAATCTGGAGCGTGTATTCATTAAAATAGGGGAATCTTCAAAAATCATAAAAAAAAATATTTTACGTGAATAAAATTGATCAAAATACCCCTAAAATGTTTTGGGGGTATTTTGATCGTTTTAATTTTTACGGATAATTGTTTTTATATTTTTATTAGATGTGTCTCAGTACGATGTACGTACCCTCCAAATTTCAAGTCATTCTGATTTTTAGAAAAAAAATGAAAAATAAAAAAATATTGTACAATCGTGACTGCGCAATGAAATTTAGATGGTGATGAGGGTAGGCGAAATCACTATTCATTTTCTCTTATAGGCATTGGAAAGAC